CTCACGGTGTAACTGAGGATGACCTTGAACTTCTGATCCTCCTGTCTTCACCACCCAAGTGCAAAGACTGTGCCACCGCACCTAGTTCAAGGCAGTGCTGGGAATGGAACCCAGGCAAGGACACTCTACGGACTGAACCACACCCCATCACTAGATGCTGGCTGTGTACTGTAAATAAGTAAATAGCCAGCTGCTGGCATCGAGCAAGTGTTGGCTCACACCATAGCACAGCCTACTGCTCGACTTCTAGACTCGGAACAGTGCAGAGTTGTAGAGAAGTCTCTTGCAGAATCTGCCTCATTGACCAAAGGTGTGGTGGAAGGGGAGGTTTCTGCCCTTTATGAAGGCAGCCTGGCTGCACAAACCCCCCAGGCCTGCTTTGCGGCTCACCCCAGAACCAGCTGGCTCAGTTCTGCTTCCAGACAAACCCCAAGGGGCTGGTGACACTCTGGAGGTTCAAAGCCAGCTGACTTCACAGCTGAGTACCTCCTGGCTACACAGATTTCTAGTTGAAAATGGACCCATTGTGAACTGGGGAGTGGATATGAGGAGGGACCTGAGTTCAGATCGCAGAATCTACATATACAGCCAGCTATAACCTATAACCAGAGCCCTTCAGGGGAGGGGATGTGGGGACAGGAAGATCTCTAGGGCTTGCTAGCCACCAGCCTAGATGAAAAACAGTGAGCTCCAGGTTCAGAGAGAGAATCAGTCTCAAGGGAATAATGTGGGGAGTGATAGAGAATACATAATGCCCTCCTCTAGTTTCACAGGCCTGTATACCCTCACATACGTGTACACACACATACACTGACATGTTCTGGTACTAAAGCTCACTCTGAGAATTGCACCGTTTGTACTTAAACTCACTATGAAGCTGAAGGTGACCTTCAACTCCCAATCCTCCAATATCTAGCTCTCCAGTGCCAGGTTACGTGGCTGATTTGCCCCTCTAGACACAGTTTGTGTGGTGCCGGGGCTCAAACCCAGGCTTTCTTTCATACTTGCTAGGCAAGCATTACCCATGGTGCCACACACAGTCTCTGGGCCTTCTCCTGTCAGGGTAGAACTGAGCTGTGACAAGGAAGCTTGGATTTGAGGGGAGTGGTTAAGGTGTGATTGGGAGGGATGGCCATTACCTTGGAGCCCTTAAGAGCACTGTGCCTGGTTTAGCTCAGGCCCCACAAGAAGTGGCAAAGTCGCTGAGTGCAGCTGAGGCTTCTCTTGCCCTGTGTTAAACTATTCACTCACTCAAATCAGGCTTTTGATATCTTATTAGTTCCTGCATCTGTGGTGTGTGGGGGGGGGGCTGTGTGCCGGTGTATGTGTGTTATACATATGTGTCTGTGTTCAGGTGTGTGTGTTAGACACATGAGTATTGTGCAAGTGTGTTACACATATGTGTCTCTGTGTGTTAGACACATGAGTATGTGTGCAAAAGTGTGTTACACGTATGTGCCTGTATGCAGGTGTGTTGTTATATGCACATGTGTTTGTGTGCAGATACTCCACACATACATGTACATGTAGATCAGGCATCTTTCCCTTTCGCTCTCCACCTTATTTGTCTAGTCAGGTTCTCTCACTGAACCCGAACTCACCAATACAGTTAGCCAGAGAGCCCCCTCCCTCAAGGTGCTCCTGTTTTCTGTCCTCAATGCTGAGGTGACAAGCAGGCCTTACTGGTGCATCTGGCTTTTCAGTGATGCTGAAACTCAGCTCAGGTCCTTGTGCTTGTCCACTGAGCTGTCTGCCCAGTTCTGCTAGTTTTGTGCCAGCAGAGGTATCTACTCTTTTCTCCTGAAACCCCGAAGGAGTTCCCTTTAACCAGGCACATGCTCTCTGGGTACCGCAAAACTGGCCAACTTCTCCTTTTTGTGCCCAGGCCTGATTTCCCTGGGCATTTGAGTTGACAAATCTAATTTACACGAAACACTCTGTATTAACACTCATCCTGAGTCACAGCAGGGCAGGAACTGAGAGCCTGATTATTGTTGGCTGGCTTCTAGAAACTTCCCTGGTACAGAACAAACAAGTACACTTGACTGAAAAATCTGAGGCATGTACCCAAAGGACTCTACTTCCTACTACAGAGACACTGGCTCATCCATGTTCATTGCTGCTCTTTTCACAATAGCCAGGAAATGGAACCAACCTAGATGCCCATCAACAGATGAAGAGCTAATGAAAATGTGGTCCATGTGCATGATAAAATTTTATTTAGTCATTAAACATGAAATTTGCAGGAAGATGGATGGAACTTCGGGGAAATAAGTGAGGTAACCTAGGCAGAGGAAGACAAACACTTCATGTTCTTTCTCGTAGGCAGAGCCTGGCTTCTCCTTTTTATATATGCATATTGATGTGGGAGTGAGTGTGTGTGGTGTCAGAAGACTAGAAGGGGTCACGAGAGGCCAGGAGCAAGAGGCCCTAAGGGAGGAGGCTGTGGAGAGTAGCAGAACACTCACGATATGAAAATGGAAGGGGTGAGAGGGTACAAAAGGGTCGGGAGTGCAGGAAGACGGGAGAGGAGCTTGTATTGGGATAGCAGGCAAAACTAAGTAGTGTGTGTGTGTGTGTGTGTGTGTGTGTATGCAACATGAGGAAATCTGTTACTAATTTAAGGAAGAAACTGGGCTGGAGAGATGGCGCAGTTGGTAAAGTGCTTTCCTTGCAAGCGTGGGGACGTGAGTTCAGTCCCCAGACCCCACACTTGTAATCGCAGTGTTGGGGAGACAGAGGCAGGTGGATCCCTGGGGCTCAGCAGTCAACCAATTTAACCAAATTGGTGAGCTCTAGGACAGTGAGAGACCCTTACTCAAAGGAGAGGGACAGCCTTTATGAGGACAACACTAGTGCTTGTCCTCCAACCTCCACGCACACCCCACCCTCATGCATTAAAAATAAACAGTTTTCTATGCACTGGTAGTGTTAAGTGTCCCTGTGTGCTGCTCAGGCAAACAGCAAATACTCCTTGTTAACTTTTCATGATGCTAAATAACTTAAAAATAAAACCAACCACGTGCAGGATAGCCTTAAAGTGATATAATTCATAAACTTTCAGTTTCGTCCCAGAACTGCTAAAAGACCACAGCAGCCTCAGTCTTCCAAGAACAGGGCCCATCTTGGACATAACCCTGTGGCCCTCTAAACCTGATGCGGGGTGGATCTTTAGACTCTGATGGAGTGAGGCAGGATTAAAATCGCTGAGCTTCTTCACCTCACCAAAGACCGTCTGCACCATAGGGTAATGGGTGACTGCCCCAACTAAAAGAGCTTCTGCTATTGAGAGAGAGACAAGGAGTATTTCTATAGAGGCCTGTGAGCAAAGTCATCCATCCCATGCCATGATGCCTGCTGGAAATTAATCTTTAATATCTTAATGAATGACTGTGTCAACTGGCACAGGGCTAAAAAGCTCTACCCAGTGCTAGTTCTTCAAGCTTGGGTGTGTTCATAGACTCTGAAAAGTCAGGTGTCACCTACCCAAAGTGTAACATGCATAATCATCCCTGGTGCCTTCTATGCTAAGCAGATTCATACGCTAGCGAAATGGGTCATGTGACATAGAGTTTGATGAGGAAGAGGCCAGACAGGCCTAAGACCTGCAGCAGCTGGGCAGATGGTGGGAGACAACTCAGTCTTTAGAAGGGAGGGACCCAAGCATAGAGGCGGTCATAGTGTTTTCGCAAGCTAACTGCAGCCCTAAAAGTGACTGAGTACCCTAAGTAGGTCCCTTCCTAGTATGGCTTCTGCTTTTCCTTCCTGAGAGATCACAGGAGCAGGTTCAGGGCAACGTTGCTGATAAAGAACAGTTGTGATGGACTATGAAAGAGATGGCTTCAAGAGAGGAAAGAAACAACGCCAGCAGCCATCTGGATGCTTCTACCAAATGTAGCACAATATCCCTTTAAGTTTTCATTAACTCTGTGTGTGTCCGTCTGTCTACCTTTCTCTGTCTCTCTCTATGTGTCTCTCTGTTTCTTTCTCATACACACATACACACACACACGCGCGCGCACACACACACACAGAGGAGGAGAATTACCCTCAAGATGACATAGCATCTATAAGAAACAGACTACGGACAGTTATATAAATATTTCCTCCAAATTGAAACATTCCCTCCTGGAGCAAGGCTCTTAAGACTCAGGAAGTAAAGGAAACTTACAAGGTACAGAAAGCCAACAAAACTCACAAGTCTCAGGAAGCTCCTGAAATTTACAAGACTCACAAGGTCCCACTTCCAAAGTTATACAAGCATTACATAAGCACAGGTGCAATATGTCATCCAAAAGATTAATGCAGTCTCCCTGATCATTCTGACATATATAAAATGGTATGCTGTAGTCAAGCTGAAATCCAAACACATCTGACAAGCCAATGTTTCTTGTTTACATTGTCCTGAACCCAAATGTAAAAAATTATAAAAGCAGCATCTTTATCACCTAGTAACCAAATCAGTTGCCTTCTATGAAGGCTACCCAATAGGAAGCTACAAAAATATCCAGAGAGAATAGGGGAAGAAAGAGTTAAAGTAATCATCAGAGGACAAAACAGTGAGAAACATCCCTGTCAGAAATTGTTTTTTCTAGTTTATATAGCTAGACATCAGTCATGCTAGGAAACCTATGGAAATAGATTTACATCTGCATTGAGGTGCAAAATAAAAAAGAAATGCTTCTTATTATAGTAATCATTGGATTCAGACAACAGGCTGGATCACAGCTGCACCTATACAATTCTTTTTGTAGGAAAAGAAAGGCATCTTTCTTTAAAACTCGTCAAAAAGCCAGCAGGACACAGAAGGCAGAGCCAGCTCAAATATGTGGAGTCTCATGTGACCCGGAACTTCACTATGCGGTGTCATTTGTGTCCCTGGAGTGAGTTCTTCTGGTCCCTAAGAGGGCCTTCCTTCCCTTACCCACCCACTGCAGCAGACCCGTGTGACAATCAAAGTGGGAACTTCAGGGACGAAAGTTAGGAAAGAAGGACCTTACCACTTCAGGGAGCAGCCTTGTTGAAAGGTCATGGATGGCTTTGACCACTATACAGATAGATGACAGAAGAAAGATCACCCCCAAGATGACACAGGCTCTGTAAGAAAAAGAACATGGATAGCTGTGTAGTTATTTCCTCTAAATTAAAACATTTCCCCCTGGAGGGAGGCTCATTAAGCCTCAGAAAGTAAAGGACACTTACAAGTCTTAGGAAGTCAACAAAACACACAGGTCTCAGTAAACTCCTGAAACTTACAAGACTCACAAGGCCCATTCTTGAATGTTACATAAGCAGTAGCAGTTGCTGAGAAGAGGTGATTTTCTTCAGTGGAGCTGCCTGAAGGTTGTAGAGGGAGCTCCTGGGAGGCAGCTTTTGTGACTTACCACCGTACTGGGACAAGCTTTTCAATGATGCAGCTGCCTTTAGTCAACCTGTGCTCCTGTAAGTAGCCCCAATGAAACTCATTGTTCACTAATCTACTTAGATGGAATCATTTCTTTGGTATGTTGCCAATTCCTTATCTAGAATGGATTCCAGGGGCTTGCTGAAAAGTTAATGTAAACAAACCAGTGAGCTCCAGGTTCAGTGAAAGACCTCAAATTGCTCTCTGGCCTACACACCACACACACAGAGGAGAGGGGGAGGGAGGAAGGGAGGGAGGGAGGGAGAGAGAGAGAGAGAGAGAGAGACAGAGACAGAGAGAGAGAGAGAGAGAGAGAGAGAGAGAGAGAGAGGAGAATATGTCCCTTAGGTAATAATTGATATCTTCCATTTCCCAGTGTCTACAGAAGCACATAGCAGATGCCCTGGGTGCATCTGTTGAGTGGATAAGACCAACTAAGTAGTTAGCTAACCAAACCAATAACTAATCATTGCTAGTTTACCCCCTACGAGTTTCTCACCATGGAGTCTGAGGTAGCATTGTTAGCTTTCTAATGGATTTCTAATGGATAGGGGTACTCCTATCCTTCATCCCTGTACCCTCAAACTATTCACATTGTAACGTAGCTCTAAAGTGTAATGAAAGAAGCTTGCCACCCATTTTGTTAAAGTTGGACCTCACAAACTGCAACCTACCTTGTATATACACTTCTGTTATACACAAGAATTTGCTCATTTTTTTTTTTTACTAAAATCTCATTTTTCTCTTTTCAGTGTGTTGCAGACTTGAAAACCATAGCCCTTATTTCCAAAACTGTGTTAGGGCCTGTGTGTCAGAGCCTGTGTGTCAGGGCCCTGCTGCTTCTGCAGCCCAAAGCAGCTATGAATAGCTCAGGCTGCAATGCTATTTTTTAACATTGTATTAATAATACATTGTGTTTACACAGCAGCTTTCTCCTCAGGCACTCAGAGTTCTGCACATCAGCTCCCAAATCCCCCGGAGGGCTCCTCAATCCAGGTGTTTGTTTTTCTGCAGTTTATGAATGGGGAGGGTGATGTGTGTTTCATTAACACAAGGAGACAAAGCCAGAGAGACCAGGTTCAGGAGGTTAGGCTCAAGGTCATGGAAAGCATTGAGTTCTACCTAGAAATAGAGCCTGAAGGGCGGGGTAGAAGGTGCAATGGGTAAGTGGTCTGCTGCACAAGCCGGAGTGTGGAGCTCCAGCACCCATAAAAAGAAAAGACAGGTTGATTCCTGGGACACACTGGCCAACCAACGAGCTGACCTGGTGGGCTCTTGAGTCAGTGAGAGATCATGGTTCAAAAACAACTTGTGCAGGGGCTGGAGAGCTTGCTCCACAGTAAGGAACATTTACTGCCCTTCCAGGGTACCTGAGTTTGGCTCTAAGAACCTACATCCAGCTGTTCAAAGCCAGCTGGAGCTTCAGCGCTGGAAATTCAATATCCTCTCTTGGCCTCTTGGCCTGCATACATGTGGCATATACACACAGACACATATACACACATAGATTCTTTTTTTAAAAAAAAATTTAAACATTAAAACAAATGCAAACAAAACCAAGTAGAAAGGAACTGAGGAAGATATCTGATGTCAACACCTGGCCTCCAAATACATAATCACATACACATGTATATACACACAGGAACATGTTCAAACCACACACACACACACACAAGCGCGTGTGCGCTACAAGAAATAGAACCTGATTCAACTAATGACCTCCCAGAGGCCAGCCCACTCAACAAAGGCTCAGGGTATCATGTCACATGACCACCACCTCTCTTAGTCTCCAGAACAAACACTTCAATGATTTAGGCTAGAAGCAAATAGAGAAAAGGTGACTCCTTCTCCATCAGGACTAAGTGAACTACTGGTCTGGTAGGCAGAGCGGAATTGGATCCCTCCACATTTCCGACTTCTGCACAGGCGGGCCTAGCTGAGGGAAAGGGGCCCTGAGCAGCCAGGGTTCCAGAGAGAATACACATTCCTTTTCTCTCCTGCCTAAACCCTACATGGCTTCCTGAGTTAGAGAAAACAACCTACCACCTCTTCAATAAAGCAAATGACCCACTTCCCCTTCCTTGCCACCCCCAACCGATGGCTCAAACTGAATTGAGATTCCCGTGGGAAGTGTGTGTGTATGTGTGTGTGTGTGTGTTTGGTCAGAATCCACATCACCTGAGAATGTGCTAGAAGGAAACTGAGGGAATCTGTTGCAGCCCTGGTCCTAGGTACTGCCTGCTGGAAACATACAGGAAAGGGGGGCCGGCTCTCCGTCTCTCACGGCAGGCTCTCTGTGACTATATGAGCTGATCCACCTATTAAGCGACAGGCCACAGTTGAGAAGTATTTACTTACTGCGGGCCCACCTTTTGCCAAGAACCCTTCTGAGCACTAGAATGTGACACATAAGCCTAAGTTCCTTCTTCAAGATGTGGAGAAAGGAAACATTTAAATCACACAGAGTACTTCCAAGGGGCGGGCAAGCTGACTCTGAGCAAATCAAAAGGAGCTCAATTATGGGCCTCACAGGGGCCGGAGAGGTGGCACAGTGGAGAAAGCAGTTTCCACCATGCAAGCTAGAGGACCTGAGTGCAGATCCTGAGCACTGTAGACCCATATTTCTATATGGTGTGGCAGCCAGGCTCTGAAGTCATAGGCCCCATTTGAGGTGGTCACATAGCCCTAAAGACAGGCTGTCTCTGCCTAACAAAGGGTCAGGATGTTTGTTGCTCCTTTCTTTGTAATTTGGAGGATGCCTTATAGAGACGCTGATTCAAGCCTACGTGACAGCTAGCATACACAGCAGACAGGTAGATGCAGACGTGAAAAAACTCCATTCACCTGTTTACCTAGGAGACAGGTATTTTCCCGCTCAGTTATGTGTTAGCATAAAAGTTGTTTGGAGAATAAACGCGGAGAGATCTTGAGGAGAGAAGAAGCCTGAGATGCCCTTCCGTGATGACCGTGTAAGCTGTGTCTGATTATTCCTTGCGGCTCCGTACCAGTCCAGTTAGGGAAAATAGTTATCTATGTTTGGGCCCACGGGCTCTAACAGAGCACCTACGTAAATGTCAGGCAGGGTAGACTGAGTCTGTGATCCCAGCACCGAGAAGGTGAAGTTGGATCAATTCCTGGGTTCACTGGCCAGCCAGCCCAGCACATCAAAGAGAGACCCTATCTCAAAGAATAAGGCGAAAGTGATGGGGACATTGAATGCTGACCTCTAGTCTCCACGCCAATACATACATATACACATGTGTACCCACCACACTCGTGTACATACACACACAAACAGGTCCCTACAACAACACACACACAATTCCAATTTTAAAGAGCAGCAAGTGTATCCTAGATATCAGAATTCTTTCATTCATCTTGTTAACACTGCACCCCCGCTCCTTGGTGTCAGGAGCCATTCTCCTGACAAGAGGAACAGGTATTTGGGGAAGACCCTTCCAGACAGAAGGAAAAGAGGACTTTAATGTGGAAGTCTCCCTGATGTGATGGGGATACAGCCAGTCTATGAGAAGAGAGGGAAGGGGCAGAGTTGGGATGAAGGGCATAAAGAGAGAGGTGGGGTTGGGGGATTGGGGAGTGGACCCTTTGAGTTCTTTGAGCCATGCAGGGTATAGAGTCTCTAGGATGGGAAGCCACAGGGGACCAGGGCTTGGAAATGACAGGCAGTGGCATGTCTTAAAGCAGGACTGGGCTCTCTCTGGCAAAGCAGAAACAGGAAGAGCAGCTACGAGGCTGCTACAAAACCCAGGCCAGGTGAGGGTAGGACCAAACAGGTTGGGATCAGAATGGTAAAACTTGAGGAGTAAGTCTGGAGATTCTGACTCGAGAGCTTCTCTGAAGGCACCGGTGAACAGGTTCTCTTAAGTATGGTCCAAAGCTAACGGGAGTCAAGAATGAGGCAGGACTTCGAAGCCTGGAAAATAGGCCAATGGAGTTGTTCTCCTCTGAGATGGAGACCTCAGAAAGAGTGGGTGTTGACAGGGGAGTATCAAAAGGTCCATTTTGACACACTAAGTTAGAGACGTCTCTCAGACATCCAAGTAGAGATATTTCATTGTATTTTTATTTTGAGACATGGTCGCATTTAGCCTAAGCTGGCCCTGAATCCCCATGTAACTAAGATTCTCCTGCAATGACAGTACCCCCACCAAATGAGCCGTGTTCTGAGAAGGGCAGTTAGGGGCAGGAGCTTAGATTGCCCAGGCGGGGACATGCTTAGGGAGTCCCCAGCACACAGACAGAGTTTAAGCCTTGGACACAGCTCTGATTATGACAGATGTCCAGAGGTAAGAGTCCATGCTGGGTCCTAGCTGAGACGCTGGGTAGAGAAGCGGGCGAGGCTCACCACGGAGGAGCCTTCTGTGACGAGCTGAGCTGTAGAAACTCTCTTCTGAAGCCATGGGGAGCCTCGCAGCTTTGACTGTGATGGAGTGAGACAATTAGATCTGCATTTTCAAGAGCGCTCTAAGGTAGTGACTGCCAAGAGCAGAGCCGGGCCTAACCTGCCTTATCTATGGCTCTACGGCAATGGGCCATGTATGTACCCTCCTATGCTGTGCCGTGGTGTCCCAGAGAGGAGGAGAGTGCTGGTGGTTAGTATGCTCTCTCTGAACCATGGCACCTGCTCCATGCTGGGCTGATCTCTATATCCTATACTCTTGTAAGACTGGCC